CTCAGTAAGCTAACTAGTAAGCTTAAACTAGTTAAAGCAAAAGAAAAGAAAGGGGTAAACCCCCAAGAACAATAGTTTTAAGAAATTAGAAGTAGGACCGAAATGTATTAACAAAGTGTGATTGAATTTGACATGGCTCTCAGAAGAACCATGCTGTAACGTCAATTTGAAATTTTGTTATGAATTTTGAATCGCTTGTTCATATCTTTTTTTTGCATAATAGTATCTTAAAAGAGAGCCTACCTGAGTTGTCAATCACACCCTGTTTACGACATTGGGGTATACATATATGTAAATGCCTGTATACCTGCATGTACATGGTTATATATATGAAATAGACTTAGGCTAACGCGTGGAAATATATATATACATTTGACTAAATCACGTAAATTAAATTAAATAGAGTTAAATAAAATCAACTTAAACTGAACTAAATTAAAATAAAATACAAATTTATTTGAAATAAAAATAAGTTTAGACTAAAAGCTTAACGAAAAATTCAAAAATTCAACTATAAAACCAATTTTAAATAAATAACCATAAATACAATAAAAGAAAATGGCCACCATAATATAATATAACGAAATAAAAAAAAAAAAAATAAAAAAATTTAAAATGAAATCGTGAAAATATAAAACGGAAACCAAAACGCTATACAACCAAAAGATAGAACAGAAGAAATAGAAAATTAAATGAAAATCCTTAACTACTTAAAACGAAATCGCAACCCTAATACCTGATTATACTTACCCGCATTACTTAATTTAACTTTTGTTAATATCCTTACGTGACCTACTACTACTACTACTATATATATACCCATACCTGCTTAACTCCATTCAATTGTTTTTGTAATATACTTACCGGATTTTCCTACCTGATTTTGCTACCAGACTTACCGACCTGACTTACCTTCACCGTACTTTCCATAAATTTACCTCCTAGTTATAATTACTCAGGATACTTACCGTTACTTATATTTTAGCTATAACTTACCTGAGCTTGGATTAAATCCACTCTAAATACTTATCTTCATTATAATTAATTATATATTTAAGTAAAACAACTTACCTGCTACTACCTAAAATCCATTTGCTTTCGGAAAATTTATATCCTTTTCTTACCTTAGATCTAAGAGACTTAGCATTAGGATGATTAATTTTAGGAAATAGATTTAAGAATTAGGCTAAGGAGATGAAGTTTTATAAATAAATTTTGTGTAATTAAGATGGGAATGCTGACTTCTTTCGTTATTTAAGAAGGCATGTAGGGACTTTAATAATGGGGCTACCGACATTAGGGTGCGACGGTAGCCATGGATGAGGGTGGGCCAGCACCGGGCGTCACAACTCCACCAGTGGCGCCCTTATATTCGGCCTTGTTTTATTTTTGGTGCATTTTCGTTTTTTTTTACATTTTCTTTTCGTAGTTTTGGATTTTCAGTTTATTTTAAATTTTGAATTTAACGTTCTTTTTCAGCTATTTTTGTTAACGGATTTTTTTTTGTGGAATTTTGATTTTATTTTGTAGTGTGTCCGTCCGTTAACGACGTTTGACAAGGCATGACTTTTCTCTGCTATGGCGCAGGGAACAGCGGTGAAGGCAAGAACCCAGCCCAGCCGACATGACTAGCCATAGTGCACCCTATTGTGTCATGCCGCCTGCATTCACTGCTGCTCCCGAAGTATGCGTTACCATAACAATGTGTTTCAAATTCTTTATTCAAAGTTCAAATTCTTTATTGTAATAATTTGTGGTACAATCTTCACGTTTACTCCTAGCGTATGTAATATGAAATGTCTGAGGAATAAGGAAACAATTATAGAAAAAGAATTTTCTTACACTGTATTCATGTCTCCACCAGCAATTTGTGACGACATCATATAGAACCAGCTAATGAGAATGACGACACTATTTATTAGATGGCACATTCAACGAGCCAATGTGCCAAAATGCGGGTATAAACAATTATTGATTATTTAATATCGGAACCGAGATCATATAAGTTAATTGATTGGTTTTCACATACTTTTGAGACACAAATGATATGCTTTTTTACTGCAGACAAGTTGTTGCCCCAAAACACAGCAGAAATCGTCCAATTATCCTTATTTATGAGGTGCCATATTGAGGATAAAAAAGTGCCAAAATGTGTCAAATAGAAAAATAAAAGTGCCAAAAAAGGTGTCATTCCTTTTAATCATTCACATTTAGCAATAAAATAAAGCTACATTTCCCAAACAAAAGTGCAATGATAAAATAAGATAAACCAGTTGAATAGCCTTTATAAATTAGAAAATTTTAATTGAGAAAAAGAAGTGCACGCAAAGGATTTCACAAAAATTTATTGCAATGTAATTTTTTTTACAAAAGTGCCATTTGCCAACCAAGTTGAAAAATTAAGTGCCATTTGAAGTAAAATATGGACAAAAGGCACGGTTTGAGCCAAGTTGGCATCCCTGCTTCTAATAACTTACAAATATAGAAATGTGAAATATCGAGGGCTTGAATTCATTAATACTCTCTATCTGCAATTTGTGGCGTAGCGTGACATGGTGTGCGCGCCGGTCGCGCGGGGTACGCGGGGTGCGAGCGCGGCGCGCGCGGTTTGGCATGCTGACGCGGGCCGCCGCGAAGCTAAACAAATTTAATGTTTGAAAGGGAAATAATGTCAATGGATTTTATTTCGTTTTAAAAAGGTAATAGTCAATTTACCCTAATTCCGTTGATCTTATTACCTGTCACCGTAGAATACCACTAGAATCGAGTACAGGGTGTAGCTTCCAGAGAGTACTGCTTTTGTTGACCGTGCTTTGTGTTGCCATAGTTACTCCATCTCGCTTAAATACAATATTTTGAACAAATTTTACCCAAAACATTAAAGCAGAGACTCGCTCAGGCCATAACCACATCGGTTCTGTTTCATGCTGCTTACGTCGCGCTGCAACAACAAGAACAAGAACAGCAAGAAGTTTGTCCAACGATGAGTAATTTTCTAAAATAAACCAGTCAATTTGAACGTTTTACGCAACGGAAATTTGGACGGACTTGTATTCCATGATTATATCGGGATTCTTAAGCGCTGGTTGTGGCCAATTTGTTTCGGGACGTAACAGCCATTCTGGTCCACTCCACCATAGGGGGTGACGCATGAGTTGTTGTATAGTCGAACCCCGCGAGGCGCAGTCAGCTGGGTTATCCGACGTTCGTACATATCTCCAGTTGCTAACAGCAGTCAAGGCTTGAATTTGGCTTACTCGATTCGAGACAAATTCCTTCAGTGCCCCAGGATCGTTTGTTATGTGGATCCAACGAGGAACTTGTATCGTAGGCACCAATTTAAGCTCGCTTCGAAACGCTAACCACGTCGCTTTTAGGTCGTCTGGTAAAGTCTCGTTCCACTGTAGGCCGGTAAGCCAGAGTTTTTGAATGAAGATTTTGCCTCGGATGATGATGGGGGCTAAAAATCCAAGTGGATCAAATAGCCTAGCAACATCAGACAACAATTGTCGCTTTTTGAAAATAGTAATTGTATAATCAATCTTTAGCGAATAAGTCAGACAATCGCATTTAGTGGCCCATACTAAGCCCAATGTGTTGGCATGGTCTCAACTTGAAATTCATGTGATGCTTTTAATTCAAGATAAGTTGGCTCGATCGTTTGGATAGTTTCACTTGAATTAGAATTCCACTTACGTAAAGTGAATCGTCCTGCTTGCAGTAACGTTTGGAGTTCATCCCGGCATTTGCAGGCATCGGCAACGCTGTCGGCTCCTGTCAATACGTCATCAACGTAAAATCATGAAGTAGTATCTTAGCGGCGTCCGGAAAATTGTCTTGCTCATCTGCCGCTAACATGTGCAATACCTTAATCGCCAGATAAGGAGCGCAGTTAGTACCATACATAACTCTGTTTAAGCGATAATGTGACAGGTTCTCCTGACCAGCTGGACTCCACACAATACGTTGTAGTTCTGCGTCTCGTTCATCTACCAAGATTTGGAGGTACATCTTCCTGTTAATTCGACCCGATATCGCCGCCAGTTCAGCACAACCGCGGTTAGGTCATTTTGTAATTTGGGACCAGGATATAAACAATTATTTAACGATTTACCTGCGCTGCATCTTTTTGACGCGTTGAACACGACGCGCAATTTCGTTGTTGAGCTGGAAGCCTTCCAAACTCCATCATGCGGCAGATAACATACCGGTGAAGTGCAACTGGTGTCATTATTGATGAGTTGCATATGTTGTTGCGATAAATAATCATGTAGAAAATCTGTATACATGGTTCGCATTGTTGCATTTCGAAATAGCCTGCATTGCAAGTGTTCGTGAAAAACTACCGCGTCACGTTGCGTAGGGATGAGTTGCTTCAAGTCTTCGTCACGTTTAACAGGCAGACGAACAATGTAACGCCCGTCCTTCCTTCGGTATGTGGTGTTTTGAAAATACTCTTCGACGTAGCGCTCGTCTTCAGTATAGCAAGCCACTGTGTTCAGCTCTTCTATCTCCCAGAAGCGGCGGAGAGTTCGATCAATATCAATTTGAGCATTGTGACACTCAACCGTATGCTTAGGTGTGACTAGTGCATGTTCGTGGTAACCTCCGAACACAACCCAACCCAACTGCGTATTTTGAGCAATAAAGTTATTTGTGCGGCTACGACGTATTCCACTTAACAATACTTCGGCGTAAATTTCAGCATTAAGAGTCATGTCGATGGATTGAGGAATGGTGAGCTTTGGATCCGCTAAATCCAGGTCGCTAAAATGTTGCAGCTCACTGGCTCCGATTCTCAACGTAGGAGTTATGTTGCCTACCCGAGGTAGTACGAGTGCTGTGCATGGCATGTTGGAGTTATTTTTGAGAGAATGTAAGGTAAAACTGACCAGACCTTTTGCAGTGGCGACTCTGCCGCCGTTAGCTCCATTTATAGATACTTTAATATTCGATTTGGGCAAATTTAGTAAATTGACTGCATACTCACTTACAAATTCTGCCTCCGCTCCACTGTCGAGTAATGCCCGAAGTACCGTTGTATGTCCACGTTCGGACCGCACGTCAACCAATGCGGTACCTAGTACTACTTGTGGAAGAGAGCATTTATGTTTTGTCTGAGTTACATGGTGTGCTGAGACAGGCTTTGTGCTTCCGGTAGCCGGGTTTAAAATAAAGTAATCATGCAACATGGTGTGATGCTTGGCGTTACAGGTGTAACAGCGCCTCTCAGAAGGACAATGAGATTGCTGATGGCCACCCCGTAGGCAGTTTATGTAGTATGGTAACCCGATACTCCGTGTGTGGCGTTAGATTTTCTCGTCGAAGTCTCCTTTGTTTGGTGTTTATCTTCAGTGAAACTCTGGACTATCTCCAGAGACTGCGTTCGGCTTGCAAGAAACTCTTCCAGTTCCTTAAAGGTAGGAATGCTGTCGTTGGATTTTAGGGAAAGCTCCCATGCTTTTCTAGTGATAGGGCCCAAATTATGAACGATTATAAAAATTTATCAGTCGTCCCATAGCTCGACGGGACGGTCAAGATGTTTTAGTGCACGCTTGGGCGACGTGCTGAATAGGTGGCGATGTTGAAGTTGACATTTGTTGGGGCGCAGCTGACGTCTCTTAAATATCATTCAGGTCACCCATCATCTCAGCGTACGTAAGTTCTCCGATTTCGTAATCATCAGCAAACTCGGCAGCAGCGCGCTGTTCTTCAGTCGATTCGCAAATTATTTGTTCATGAATCTCTGTGAACTTATTCCAGTACTGTTCCAACAATAACTTCCTAGCTTGCAAAAATCCTTTTATGTGTTTACTTTTCGCCGTCTTCCTAGAATTCGATGCGAAATTGACAATTGCCAATTTGTTTGTCATCAGCTGCTTATAATTTCTCTCCATTGCTAATTGGAATGTCAAAAAGCAGTGAGATACCAGATAAAAGTTTTAAAGCCGCTGTATGCAAATTATGGAGACTATTAAGTTGGAAGTTCTCAGGGCAGTTTTGACAGCAGCGATTCTATGAGATGTAATGTATGCATGTATCTATCTGCGCGAAGTTAGGTTAGCTACTGATATTACACGTGGCAAACAACTTTTGTGGAGAATTCAACCGAGTTTGGTAAGGCACAGATGTTTGATTTTTTCGGCAATGTAGACTTTGTTCCTTACTTTGTTCGATATAAATTCGCCGCTTCTAAAGCGAACTGTCTTTTCACTTTATGCTTTACATCAGAGGCCGTAGATTCCCCGCAAGGGACGCCAATGTTTCAAATTCTTTACTCAAAGTTCAAATTCTTTATTGTAATAATTTGTGGTAAAATCTTCACGTTTACTCCTCACGTTTACTGAGTCGCGAATCAGTTGGTGGTCGAATCGTCGTTCACGTTGTTAAGTGGCCAAAGTAGTTTCCGTCGAGCCGTCGTATTGTTCAAGCCGTTACTGAATCTCTTCTTAAAATCATTTATTTATTATACTTATACTTTTCAATCTTCTTCTTTTTCTTTTTTGGCGCTGTAACCGCCTAAGCGATTTTGGCCGAGTTCAGCAAAGCACGCCAGTCGTTTCTCCTCTGTGCCAACTGACGCCAATTGGAAACGCCAAGTGAAGCCAAGTCCTTCTCCACCTGATCTTTCAATCGCAGTGGGGGCTTCCCTCTTCATCTGCTACCACCAGCGGGTTCCGAGTTGAATACTTTCAGAGCTGGAGCGTCGGTGTCCATTCGAACGACATGACCAAGCCAGCAGAGCCGCTGTATTTTAATTCGCTGCACTATGTCCATATCGTTGTAAAGCTCATACAGCTCATAGTTCCATCGTCTGCGGTACTCGCCGTCGCCAACGCGTAAAGGCCCGTAAATCTTCCGCAAAATCTTTCTCCCAAACACTCCAAGAGCCGCCTCATAGGATGTTGTCATTGTCCATGCTTCTGCGCCATATACCAGCACGGGCATGATGAGTGACTTATAGAGCGCGGTTTTCGTACGTCGAGAGAGGACTTTACTCCTGAATTGCCTACTCAGTCCAAAGTAGCACCTGTTGGCAAGAGTGATTCAACGTTGGATTTCAATGCTGACATTATTATCGGTGTTAATGCTGGTTCCCAAGTAAACGAAATTCTCTACTTTCTCGAAATTGTAACTGTCAACAGTGACGTTGGTGCCAAGGCGCGAATATGCTGACTGTTTGTTTGATGACAGGAGGTACTTCGTCTTGTCCTCGTTTACCACCAGACCCATGCGCTTTGCTTCCCTATCCAACTTGGAAAAGGCAGAACAGACTTCGCGGTTTTTGTTACCTATGATGTCGATTTCATCGGCATAAGCCAGCAATTGCATGCTCTTGTAGTTAATTGTTCCTGAGCGGTTCAGTTCTGCAGCTCTTATTATCTTCTCCAACATCAGATTAAAGAACTCACATGACAGGGAGTCGCCCTGACTGAAACCCCGTTTTGTGGCGAACGGCTCGGAGAGGTCTTTTCCAATTCTGACGGAGCTGGTGGTATTGCTCAACGTCATTTTACACAGCCGTATGAGTTTCGAGGGGATGCCAAATTCAGACATAGCGGCGTATAGGTAACTCCTTTTAGTGCTGTCAAAAGCGGCTTTAAAGTCGACAAATAAGTGGTGAGTGTCGATTCTTTTCTCGCGGGTCTTTTCCAAGATTTGGCGTATTGTGAATACCTGGTCTATGGTGGATTTGCCAGGTCTAAAGCCACACTGATAAGGCCCAATCAGTTCATTGACGGTGGGCTTCAGTCTTTCACACAATACGCTCGATAAGACCTTGTAACCTATGCTTAGAAGGCTGATCCCGCGGTAGTTGGCGCGAATGGCGGGGTCACCTTTCTTGTGGATTGGGCAGAGCACACTTAAATTCCAGACGTCGGGCATGCGTTCATCTGACCATATTCTGCACAAGAGTTGATGCATGCACCTTACCAACTCCCCGCCGCCGTACTTGAATAGCTCAGCTGGCAGGCTGTCAGCTCCAGCGGCTTTGTTGTTTTTCAGCCGCGTTATTGCTATACGTACCTCGTCATAGTCAGGCGGTGGAACGTCGACTCCGTCATCATCGACTGCGGGCTCGGGTTCTTCTTCTCCACAACTTACCGTGCTTCTACCATTTAGTAGGGTGGAAAAGTGTTCCCTCCATAATTTAAGTACGCTCTGGACATCAGTTACTAGGTCGCCATTATTGTTCTTACAGGAGTGCGCCCCGGTCTTTAAACCTTCCGTAAGTCGCCTAACTCTCCGGTAAAATTTTCGGGCATTCCTCCTGTCGGCCAGCATTTCAAGCTCTTCGCACTCACGTATTTCGGCCTCTCTCTTCTTGTTGCGGCAAATACGTCTCGCTTCCCTCTTCAGATCCCTATAGCGGTCCCACGTAGCGCGTTGCGCCCGATCGCAGCGTGGCCCTGTAGGCGGCATATTTTTCTCTGCAGCTTCCTGACACTCCTCATCGTACCAGTTGTTCTTTCGGGCTCGCTGAAATCCGACTACTGCTTCGGCGGCAGACTTAATGAGCGGGAAATGTGGTTCCACTGCTCGCATATATCGGTTTGTTGAAGAGTGCTCTCTGAGAGCAGGTGTGAGAGTCGAGTAGCAAAAGCGCTGGCTGTCTGTTGTGATTGCAGCTTTTCGACGGTAAGCTTTCCTTGCATATTTGGGCGCACATTTTTTGCTACACAGAGGCGGGTGCGTATCTTGGCTGCAACAAGATAGTGGGACGAGTCGATGTTTGGGCCTCGGAGTGTGCGTACGTCTAAAACACTGAAAGCGTGCCTTCCGTCTATCACAACATGATCGTTTTGGTTTCTCGTTTTTCGATCCGGAGACATCCAGGTAGCTTGATGGATCTTTTTATGCTTGAACCTAGTACTGCATACTACCATGTTTCGGGCCCCGGCGAAGTCGATCAGCCTCAATCCGTTGTCGGACGTTTCGTCGTGGAGGCAGAATTTTCCGATGGTGGTTCCAAAGATACCTTCTTTGCCCACCCTGGCATTGAAGTCGCCAAGCACGATTTTGATATCATGACGGGGGCAGCGCTCGTACGTGTGCTCCAAGCGCTCATAGAAGAGATCCTTGGATGCCTCATCCTTCTCTTCCGTCGGGCCATGGGCGCAGATGAGCGAGATGTTGAAGAATCTCGCTTTGATGCGGATTGTGGCTAGACGCTCGTCCACCGGGGTGAACGACAGTACTCGGCGACGGAGTCTCTCTCCCACCACAAATCCAACTCTGAATTTGCGTTCCTTTACATGGCAGCTGTAGTAGACGTCGCAAGGCCCCAGACATTGTTTGCCTTGCCCCGTCCAACGCATTTCTTGGATGGCGGTGATGTCAGCTTTTGTCCTTACAAGGACATCAACCAGCCGGGCAGAGGCACCTTCCCCATTAAGGCTCCGGACATTCCAGGTGCATGCCCTCAAATCGTAGTCCTTTAAACGTTTGCCGTGGTCGTCATTATAAGGGGGGGTCTCATCCGAGGCTTTGCTTTGCTTCTTCACTGGAAGTGGTTTTTACGTGGCGGGTTCCAAGCCCAGCGCACAACCCATTGCTGGGACGGGGGTGGTTTCGCAACAAAATACACGTTTATATAGCGAGCCGCTTGCTCCAAGCAGACAGACCCGCTTGCAGCCGCACCTACTGGTGAACAGACGCTGCAGACTTCAGTGAGCCCTTAAACCGAATAAGTCAGAGTGGCCCCACCGAAGCTCCCTCTCTTTCTGCCGTGACCCACGGCTCCACTCGGATTGGTTACCGCATCCCGCACATGGGTTGCTCACGTTGCCCAGAGTGCGCGAACGAGGACGCAAGAGTCGGGATTGAGTATAGCCACGCAACTGTAACTGCATACTAGGGCTGATGATTTCACCCGGGTAATGAGCTACCCGGGTACCCGGGTAGCGGGTGAAGCCCTACCCGGGTATTGAATTACCCGTGTAGCCCGGGTACCCGGGTATTTTATTACCCGGGTAGACCCGGGTAGACCGGGTACCCGGGCAGTATGGTAATTACCCGGGTACCCGGGCACCCGAAAAAATCTGGAGAGGTGAAAATTAAACGCATTTACGATTATATAACGCAAACGAACGTACATAGGGAAAATCTATAAGAATCTTCCATACCATATGGGGAAATATTATAATATACAACACATACATTGCACTTGACAAATCCGTCATTCATCACACAAGCGTACTTCCAAACCCAGCTTGTTTTAGGCATGTCTAAAATATTAATATTTACGAAGTTGGTAATGCACGTACAGATATCGGATCGGGAACAAATAAAATTATTGAGACACACCCACCTGGGAATCTAAACGATGACCGACAGTTGAGGTAATTTTTGTGTTGGAATGAAAAAAATTTTAAAATTACTTCCACAATTATTTCACAACAATACGTTCATCAACCTACTTCTCGTATTAAGGAAACTTCATTAAATAATTGTGATTTTAAAAGCTTTAAATATTATGTGAAAAGAAACTATAATTTGAACAAGCTGATACAATAAAAGTACAAAATCTTTAGGTGAATGAATAGCATAAGGTTTTGTCACCTTACTTTTTGTACCAGTGGCCTACCACAGGGTTTAGTTCTTATATAATTCCCAATGAGAACGTTCTCGTCAGTTTTGTTCTCATTTTGGTTTTGGTTTTGACGCGTTCTTGGGAACAAAACTACGACAATGGCATTTAGTTTCGATCATACATTTCGTTCTCAGTCCCTGTTTTAAAATATTAATATTTAATATTCTTTAAAATATACATACATACATACATATGTACACATGCATGTATGTATATGCATTTACAAAAATTAGAAGTTTTAATTTAAGTACAGAAACTAATGTTTTAATTTACTTTTCTTGTCTCCGTCTACTCAGGCAAGCGGTTAGGTGTACATAGTCGCGTACACTCTAGACATAAAAAAATAATTATAAAAAAAAATTTTCTCACTGAAAAAATATTTATCCTCACCAAAAAGATTATACAAGAAGCTTTATGTCGCATTACCCGGGTGTTTTCGTTTAACCGGCACCAACATATGTATATTACCCGGGTACCCGGGCAAATCGGGTAATACCCGACTACCCGGGTAATAAAAGCCCCGGGTAATACCCGGGTAATCGGTACCCGGGTACCCGGGCATTACCCGAATTACCCGGGCACCCGGGTAATACCCGGGTAACCGGGTACCCGGGTATCATCAGCCCTACTGCATACCCAGCGCAATGACTATACCCCGTTGCACTCCATTTCAATCAATTTGTAAACTAACTGAAATAAAACAATTTAATGAGCATTCTATGCTCCATCTTATATTTGGGGGCTCAACCCTTGTGCTGGACTATTGAACAACAACAAAAGTGGCTCGCTTAAGCTGCATTTTATTTTTACACTTTTACCGTACCAGCCGAATTTCTTAAAAGAAGAACGAAGGGGCAAATACAAATGGAAATGTGCCGTTTAAATTATAAGAATAGCAATGTGTGAGAAACTATGAGAAAGAACGCGGAAGCGCAAAGAAGACAACAATACGTAACACGGTCAAAAGCGGGAAAAGATAATAAAAATAAAAACGAAAGTGAAGATAAAGCTGTGAGCGAAGTAGAAAGTGACAATAATAACAAGTGCGAAAACATGGAGGCTAAAATCGAAGAAAATAGTAAAAGTTTACACGACATAATTGAATTGCTTACTCTAAAAATTCAAGCTGACGAAATTCGTCAAAATGAGCCCAAAATTGCAACAGAAAATTTCGCGAAAGTTTTGCCTAATTTTGATGGGAAAAGTGTGCCGGTGGAACGTTGGCTGGCTAAATTGGGCAAAACGAGACCGCGTATAACCTAACTGAGCAACAAAAATATGTGAAAGCTCGCGGAAAAATGACACAGATGGAACAACTACATCTCGAATCGGTGTTTGTAAGTACATATGAAGAGCTATTAAAAGAGTTTAAACGTACGTTTGCAAGTGCCGTAATACATAAGAAGTTAAGCGAAAGAAGAAAAAAAAGTAACTAAACATCCCATCAATATGTGTTAAGCATGAAAAAAATAGCAGCGGTAGGTGAAGTTGGGAGTGAATCTGTCATACGTTACATTGTTGACGGATTGAATGTCAAAAGCGAATGCAAATACAGTATGTACGGCTGCAAATCGTACCATGATCTTTACGAAAAATATGATGTACTTGACCATATGAACGATATCGAAAAGAAATATAAACAATACGGTCCTGTAAAAAGAAGTACACAGAGTGAAAAAATAACTCGTTGTTTTAATTGTGGGTCCCCAGACCATTTAAGAAAGGACTGTAAAACTGATACTAAATGTTTCAAATATAATGGAGCTGGAAATATCTCTAAAACCTGCCCGCAGTTTTCAAAACGCATTCAAGTGATTAAGGACAATAAAAGGTGTAAGACTATGCAATTCTGTATGACGCTTTACTGGGGTTTGATTTTGCATCTAATTTCAGCTTAACGCTCGATGACAGTGGCTACAAATTCACGAAAACGATAGGTCAAGAGGGTAGTGACACATCGAGTGAACTAATGGTCTACAATGTCTCGGAAAATAAAGTAGAAATCAACTCACCGCAGCAGTTCCAGTCGCTAATACGATCGATAATTAAAGATTACAAACCAACGCAAAGCAATGTTGAGTGTCCTGTGTTCCTGAAAATACTTCCAGATATTCAGATTACGCCGTTTCGTCAGCAGACAAGTCGTCATCCACCTGTTGAATGTGATGCCATAAAAGAACAAGTTGACGAATGGCTGGAAAATGGTGTGGTACGCAAATCAACATCTAACTTTGCTAGTAGAGTGGTTATTGTAAAAAATAAAGATAGCACAGTACAGATAGTACAGAGTTTGCGTTGATTTTCGGCAGTTAAACAGCATGGTGCTAAAAGACTGCTTCCCAGTACCCCTCATTGAAGACGTGCTCGAAAGGCTTCAAGCGGCAAAAATGTTCATTGTCATGGACCTGGAAAACAGATTTTTCCATGTACCCATTGACGAGCCAATTCGCAAATTGACGGCATTTATCACAAAGCAGGGCCTTTACGAGTTCAACAAAGCCCCGTTTGGGTTTCCAAATGCAATTCCCCTGATACGTTTGTAAGATTTATCACTTACGTTTTCCAAAATCTCGTTGACCAAGATATGATGCAGATTTATGTGGACGACATTATCATCTACGCACAAACGTCTGAAGAATGTATCACCAAGCGGAAGCAAGTACTGTCAGTGGCGTCCAATTACAACCTAAACATCAAATGGAAGAAGTGTCATTTTTTGGAGAGCAAGATCGACTTTCTTGGCCATACAATAGAAGGTGGCAAAATTTGGCCGGGCCAAGAGAAAACAAGCGCTGTTAGAAATTTCGATACACCGAGAAATGTCAAAGCGGTGCAATCATTTTAAGGATTAACCGAATTTTTCCGAAAATTTATAAAAAAAGGGTATGCACAGATAGCACGGCCCCTGACAAACTTGTTGAAAAAGGATATGCCTTTTAAAGTTGACGAACTGAAAGCAATCAGTCAGTTGAAGAATACATTATGTGCTGAACCAGTTTTAAGAATTTATTGTAGAAATGCTCCCATGGAATTACATACTGATGCCTCGAAAGACTGTTTCGGTGCGACGCTGTTGCAGAAGTTCGATGGAAGCTTGCATTCTATACTTTACTGGAGCAAGAAAACGACGCCTAGTGATGCTAACCGCCACAGCTATGTTTTAGAGGTCAAAGCAGCCTATCTTGCGATCGAGAAATTCCGAAATTACCTCCTGGGTGTTAACTTTACGCTCGTCACCGATTGTTCCGCGTTTACACAAACCATTAAAAAGAAGGACGTACCACGAGAGGTTGCCAGATGGATTTTGTACCTGCAAGATTTCAACTTTCGAGTTGAACACCGTGTTGCAAATAAGTTGAAACACGTAGATTGCTTGAGTCGCTTTCCAAACGTGCTGGCCATGGGCTCGCAGATTTCAGCCCGCTTAAAAAGTGCTCAGCGAAAAGACAGTTTCACCAACGCTATTTTAGAAGTTCTTAAAAGTCGTCCTTATGATGGGCTCAACGTTAAGGGAGATATTTTGTATAAAAGCGTGAATGGTAATAATTTAGTCGTCGTACCCAAGGAGATGGAACGTGAAATTATATCTGAGGCTCTTAACGTTGGCCATTGCGCACTTCAAAAGACGATGCATAGCGTACAGCAGTAGTTTTGGATTCCCCACAAAGAACGTAAAGTAGCACAAATAGTCAACGCCTGTGTAAAGTGTTTGCTGTATAACAAGAAACTCGGAAAACAAGAGGGTTACGTGTGCTGCATCGACAAGGGAAGTCTACTTCTACATACGCTGCATGTTGACCATTTAGGCCCAATGGACGCAACAACTAAACAGTATAAATACGTTTTCTCTATGGTCGACGGGTTTTCAAAATTTGTTTGGTTATTTACGACAAAGAGTACAAGCTGCGATGAGGTACTTAAAAAACTGGCAGAATGGTCGACCGTCTTCGGCCTGCCTTCTCGCATAGTGAGCGACCGTGGGGCAGTTTTTCTTGCACTACTTTGAGTAATACATTAAGTCGAATGCTATCGAAAACGTCTGGACCACTACGGGTGTTGCTAGGGGCAACGGGCAAATTGAACGCGTTAACAGATCAATGCTGTCTATAATCTCAAAGCTGTCCGCGGAAGATCCCTCAAAATGGTATAAATTTGTTCCACAAGTCCAAAGCGCAATCAATTCACATATGCATAGCTCAACCAAGAAGTCGCCGTTTGAGTTTATGTTCGGCGTAAAAATGAAAAACCAAATTAGTGATAGAGTTTTGAGCGTGCTAGAGCAAGAATGTGCAGAAAGCTTTGACACGGAGAGGCAGAAATCTCGCGAAGAATCCAAAAAGCAAATACAGCAAGACCTCTACAAAAAGAATTATGACAAAAAGCGTAAAGGTGAATACATCTACAAAGAAAGAGATCTGGCGTCTGTTAAACGCACACAGTTTGTCGCTGGAAAGAAGCTGGCGAGTCCGTTTCTCGGTCCATATGAGGTGGTAAAAGTCAAAAGGAACGGCCGCTATGATGTTCGAAAGGCAGCGCAGGTAGAAGGTCCGAATGTAACAACAACAAGTGCTGACAATATGAAATTATGGAAATACGTCGAACACAACGATGATTTATTATCGTCTGGGACAGACGATGAGTAGTCAGATGGCCGAATGTAAAATATGTAGTTGGCAACCCGCTGGAGTACGAGAGAAGTGGTCGAAAGAATGGAGAGAAAACGTCAAGTAGCAGATGTGGTAGGAATAAAAAAGCCATCGTTCATCGAAGAGTTGAAGAGGAGTCGCGAATCAGTTGGTGGTCGAATCGTAGTTCACGTTGTTAAGTGGCCAAAGTAGTTTTCCGTCGTAAAGTCGTCAAGTTGTCTAAGTTGAAGTGGTCGAGCCGTGAAGTCGTCGTATTGTCCAAGCCGTTGCTGAATCTCTTTTTAAAATCATTTATTTAATATACTTATACTTTTCAATCAATTTGTAAACTAACTGAAATAAAACACTTTAATGAGCATTCTATGCTCCATCTTATAGGGATTGGCAAGGTTGCATTTTGGACAATATGCTATCGCATTCTTCAACCCCTATTCCATGCGTTCGTGAAATCCCCATCTCACCAACTAGGCTACTTAAAAAGTTATAGGCGAAAATATTTTGGTTTCCCCATAAGGCTAACATTGCAGTCCAAATGTTTAAAATGTTTTTTTTCGAATTCAGGTTTTTCGACTTAGGCGGTTATTGCTTATGACCACAGATATGTCATTCTATGGAAACATATGTATGTAAGTTAACTACATATATATCGCCGATGTTTTTGCGAAACCGCCAATCGACCAGGTGCAAAACCGCCTAAGGGCCGGTTGTTCTATGTCTGATTAGCACGAATCGGAGGTAGAATCTCTGATGAAATACAACGACTGCTTTATCGATCACATCTTATATGCATGACGTCGAAAATGTCGATAATGATGTTTAACCGGCAAGTAGTGATAACCAGACATTGAAAAACCGAGAACCCTAAATCGCCATTGTGACAAAAATGAGATTTGGTAACCCTGAACTCCAGGCATCGAGATTTATGCATAACCGTTGAAACAGAATGCCGGCGAACGGGGAATTTTTCGCCGGGAATGTTCGCTGTAAAAATTAAAACACACTGACGTATATGAGAACGCGCACAACCAAAGCAAACGACGGCGTTCGTCCGACGACTGTTCGCGACGATAGGCTTAATTCTATTGTCGTCGCTGGCGGCAGCGGCAAAATACGAACCATTGTGGCCATATGCTAAATATTCCCTTTAAATCGAAACTGAAAAATACTGTATTAGTTTTTGTTAAAAATTAATAATCTTGTTGTTTGTAAAAATTTTAATTGTACCTTGTCATAAGTAGCTTAATTCGTTTTGGCCGTAGTCGCGTTTTACTGAGCGAAATTTTTGAGAGGAAGTTGCTGACGTCGGCGAAAATTCGGCGTACGCCGGTATTGTGTTTCAGCGGTAAGAATCATAAAATCGTTATTAAAATAACACTTTTGTAAAATAATAGCTAGAGAAAATAGCGCCTATCAAGGCAATGCCTTCAAAGAAAAATCGGGTTTTCGCTCTCCTGTAAAATTCGAGTGCCGTAAGATTGGCCATGTTAAACACAGTTGAAGCAAATTTCCGGTATTTCTCTTCTAGCGCCTGAAACTATACTTATTATTTACTACCGCCGGCAGCTTTAACAAATTTATAGCGTTTTTACTTTGTTTTTGGCAAATTACGCCCTGTTAGCCATAACTTTTACTGTGTTTCGATCGCCTTTGTATTAAATTGCATTGTCATCATGGTTGGAACCATGATAAAAATATAGTAAGGTAGAACCGCTGAGAGTCACTTTTAAAATTCTTGACGTTTCCAAACAATTTAATTTTTAAATTTACTCACAAACTCACACACACATTTTCATTTTCAATCTCAAGCAACAACAACTTCGAACAATTTCAATTTTTTATTTTCACTTTTATATGATTTTAAAATGTTGGCAAACTTCAAAAAAAAATCATGGCCGACAAATTGAGAGAACGGTTATACCTTGCTATGTTTTTATCATGGTTGGAACTATGCTGAAAATTTTAAGTCTCTAGCTTGTCGGGAAGTTAGTTTAAAATTTCCGCGGGATGAGCAAGTTAAATAAAAGCTTGTAATAATAAGCCATAGTAACATTGACAAATAGAGTGCCGGGTATGCAGTTACGGTTGCACGGCTATACTCATTCCCGACTCTTTCGTCCTCGTTCGCGCACTCGGGGCAGCGTGAGCAACCCATGTGCGAGATGCGGTACCCATTCCTAGTGGAGCCTTGGTCACGGAAGAAAGAGAGGGAGCTTCGGTGAGGCTACTCCGACTTATTCTGATTAAGGACTCCCTGAAGTCTACAGCGTCTGTTCGCCAGTAAGTGCGGCTGCAAGCGGGTGTCTGTCTTGGAGCTAGCGGCTCGCTATATAAAAGTTAATTTTTTTGCTAAACCACCACCGTCCCAGCAATGGGATGTGCGCTGTGTGTAAAAGCCCCTTCCAGTGAAGAAGCGAAGGAATGCCTCGGATGAGACGCCCCTTATGATGACGGCCACGGCAAATGTTGTTACGATTTGAGGGCATGCACCTGGAATGTCCGGACCCTCAATGGGGAAGGTGCCTCTGCCTGGCTGATTGATGTCCTCGGTAGAACAAAAGCTGACATCACCGCTATCCAAGAAATGCGTTGGGCGGGGCAAGACAAACAATGCCTGGGGCCTTGTGACGTCTACTGCAGCTGGCATGTAAAGGAAGGAGCGCAAATTCGGTGTTGGATTTGTGGTGGGAGAGACTCCGTCGCAGGGTGCTGTCATTCACTCCGGTGGACGAGTGTCTAGCCCTAATCTGTATCAAAGCGAGATTCCTCAACATCTCGCTCATCTGCGCCCATGCCCCGACGGAAGAGGTATCCAAGGATCTCTTCTATGAGCGCTTGGAGCACACGTACGAGCGCTGCCCCTACCACGATATCAAAATCGTGGTTGGCGACTTCAATGCCACCGTCGGAAAATTTAGCCTCCTCGGCGAAACGTCCCTGAACGGACTGAGGCTAATCGACTGCGCCGGGGCCCTTCAGTGTTTTGGACGTACGTTCACTCCGAGGACCAAACATCGACTCAGACCACTATCTTGTTGCAGCCAAGATACGCACCCGCCTCTGTGCAGCAAAAAATGTGCGCCCATATATGCAAAGAAAGCTTAAAGTGGAAAAACTGCAATCACAACAAACAGCCAATGCATTCGCTACTCGACTCTCACACCTGTTCTCAGAGAGCACTCTTCAACAAACCGACATATGCGAGCAGTGGAACCACATTTCCCGCTCATTAAGTCCGCCGCCGAAGTAGTAGTAGGATTTCAGCGAGCCCGAAAGAACAACTGGTACGATGAGGAGTGCCAGGAAGCTGCAGAGATAAAAGATGCCGCCTACAGGGCCACGATGCGATCGGGCGCAACGCGCGCTATCTGGGACCGCTATAGGGATCTGAAGAGGGAAGCGAGACGTATTTGACGCAATGAGAAGAGAGAGGCGAAAAAACGTGAGTGCGACGAGCTTGAAATGCTGGCCGACAGGAAGAATGCCGGTAAATTTTACCAGAGAGTTAGGCGACCTACGGAGGTACAGGCGTACTCCTGTAAGGACAACAATGCACAGTGGTACCATAGTAGGTCATTCGAAAAAAATATTGATGTGTCATTTTGACACCATGTCTTGTCTAATTACTAACAAACAGCCACTCTAACTGGGAATAGAAAAAATAATAATTTTTTAACGCTAAAGCTCCGTTTCAACCGTCGAAAGTGAGGACTTTCCATAAGTGCGTATGATTTATAATACTACGCATTATTTTAAGTGAATCCCGGAGCAGATTTTGATCAAAAATATTTACATGTCAGAACTTTCTTGATGTGGAGCTGAAAGCTGAAGGTATGTAGAATATACCAAGTATTTGATTTTTTTCTTTAAAGTGTCTTAATAGTAGTTTAAATATAATTTTAAATAAGCGGCAGAAAGTATAAAAAAATTCCCTTTTCGATTTATCAAAGCTTTTAATTACTTTTTCACCAAATTGCACTCATGATATTAGTACCAAAATGTTTGACCAGATCTCTAGTTTCAATATCAAAACCTTTTAACTGCGTTTAGCTTCCTCTGGGTAATGCATAAAGATTATACGACAACCCTCAATTTCAAAAAGGTGTTCAAGGTTTCACTTCTAATTGGCACTATTGACCATTTTTGTAAATTTATTTTAGGATCGAGTTATAAGTGTTCTTTTGCTCGAATGTTACAAATGGCTCTCCTATCAAAGCGTCAAAAACCAAGAAGAAAGGAAACGGAAAGTTTTTGAAGCCCTGATACAAGCTATGCCATCAGGCGAAAATGTAAATATTGACAGTTTGAAAAATTGCATTTTCTACCTTTGCCGAAGTTTTTTGAAATATTGGACGCAAGTTAACAGATCAAGATCCAGACTAATCACCAAATACTGCGACTAGTTAAATGAAAATGAAAATTGCACTCTTTTTATATTTGCAAAGACTGGTAATGAAGATTTGTCCTCTACAAGCAAGCAATTGCATAGAAAACCATCTGCTGACTGCAGTAAGAGATCTAAGCGCCGCAGATTAGCTCAACTGTCAAAGGTCGATAGTTCTGCCGTCACTGCGATAATTAATGATTCCGCCCAATCAAGCACCTCTTCTGTACAATTCAGCGCTGACGAAATGGTATCACTAATTACGGAGGCTAAATTGACAAAACACCAGTACTTGCTTGTAAAAGAGTTAAACACTCTAAATTTGCAAATGTTTCATATCAGAAAGTGCTAGAAGCGAAGAAACGATGTTAACCATTAGAGGAATGTGTTACACAATACTCTGCCGAAATTAATTTACAGTCTTTGTTAGACCACACTACTTCTCGAATTTTTGAATCCCAAAAGAGCGTGAAAGATGGTGCTGTTGATGCAAATAATGATTTTGTTCTAATTTGTAAGTGGGGTTTTGATGGCAGTACCGGGATTCGGATTCAAAAATTGAGGACAGCAGCTTATTTGTAACATCTTATGTTCCCCTTAAATTAATTTATAAATCTAGCATGTCAGATTCAGCTATTACTGTTTGGAAGAATCCCCGGCCATCCTCTACTAGGTTTCGTAGACCAATTCGGTTCAAATTTGCCAAAGAAACAAAACAACTTTCCGTGCAAGAAGAAGCTTATTTTA